CAGAAAACTAAAGGCACAATGCTGGAGTCCTGTATACATTTTGTAGCTGCTGTTCTCATTTCATGTTGTCATTTACTGCAGTAGTTTTGCAAGTGCTATTAAAAAACAAATGCAATGTTTCTTTAAATTAGAAGTTAAGGCATAGATCTTTCCAGTGGTGCATATTATGAAGAGTGTCTTTGCAGATATTTGCTAGGATGTTTATATTTTTATGCATGTAGATAATGAGCCACTTATTCACTCTTATTTTCACACGTATAGCATTGGAAATAAAGATCCTCTTCGGTAAAACATTGCATACCAAATGAAATTCTTGTTCTTTAAATATTAGCTCAGTTTTATGGTTTATGTTGTCCTTTTTACTCTTGGTAAAAATGTTCGCTTTGCTCTCTTCCATAGTATTATAATTTCATCAAGACTCCAAACTGATACGTAAAGCAGAAACATTAAGCAAATAATATTATGTATATATGGATTTCTAGTGACACCTGTGGCAAGAAAAACAGAAATGTATAACGGTCAGACTTTCCTTATAAGTGTCACAGAGAATTTCTCTAACACTGGTCAATATAAATCAGTCCTCAGGAAACCATACCGATTAAACAGCTTAATTTGAAGAGCATAGCAAAATTGTTGAAATAAAATGAAAATGCTTTTTATGAAGCCAAAAATAATAACATTGGATATAATTCTCATTTGATGAAAGAAACATTAATACCTAAGAAAATAGATGATCCAAGAGAAATGCATTTAGGAATTCTATGAACAGAGGGGTGATCTTGTTAGGCAGTATATGATTTCTAGTGAACTATTACAAACCTGATGGTTTATAATAAACTGGTGGTGAATTTCATAGAAAATTAGTAATGAATTTCTACTACAATCTAAGTGTGTGAAGCACCTGCATATTTAAAAGAGCCTTCTTGGTTAGCATGTTATAATGCAAAGGAACCAACTGAAGCTGGTGAGGGCTTTGCTATCATGGAATAATGTAAGAAAGGAGGCTGTTCCATGAGCAACAAAACTTTGAGTTGGCTTTTTCTGTAGGCTTAGGTCTCATTTCCTTTATACTACCACACCCCCCCATCCCCACCCCCACCCCTTTTATTTTACTTCTACTAAGCTAAAGATGGCATGTTCTTTAGCAGAGACAGCTTCTACTGTGCTGAAGGATATGGCCGAGTTCTTCCTTTCTCCCTCAGAAAACTATAGATTCTTTTCCCCTTTCCTTCACCCCACCAGCAGTATTCATGAAATTTATTAAGAACGTAAGATCTGCAAATTTTTTCAGCTCTCTGAATTGTGTTTGAAATTACCCATCAAATCAGAAGTTGTTAAGGGGGACAGATGTCCACCCAAATGGACAATGCAAATGTATGAGCCTTATTTCCTTAGGGGGCAAGGCTGACAACAAATTACTGTAATTAATGTCTCACCCTGTCTATATAAAACCTTTTGTCAAAGGAGGACAGAGTAGCCTGAGTGCACTAGATCCCTATAGACTGAGGAGGCAAGCGGTCATGCTTACTTTTGTGACACTGGCCAGTCAGCCAAAAAAATGGGTGGCCTAGAACGTCTTAATGGTATTTCCATCCTCCTGATGTAGCCTGAACACCTTTGAGCCTTGTTACAGCAAACATTTTTGTCTGCCTGTCTTAAACCTGTTCAAAAGCATGAGTGCATACCTAAGGCATTCTTAGCATAATTCAGTCACCCCAGCACACTGTAACTGACAATGACCATCTAGGGGGCATCATGGCCAACTTGGGTGCTCCAGATCATTTCAGTTTGCTCCAACAGATAGAAAAGATCCATAGGGATGGGGAAACATGTTTCATCTCCCTTGATGCCCCTGCCTTGCTGCTCCTTCCTGGAGGAAGGCCATGGGAACTTCAGTTTTCATTCAACCTTTTGTTTTCAGCAGCCTGTATGGTTTGGGGGTTTTATTTTTCCCCGGGGAAAATGAGAAGTCTTTCGTATTATTGACAGCTAATATAGGATAGCTTTTCATTCATCAGCTACTTTTTAGATAAGGTAGATTTGAATTGGCTGTCTCCTTATAACCTACCAGTTCTATCTTTTCCAGGTGACAAAAAATATTCTCCTTTCTATAAACAGAAGCTCCCTACAATCTTCAAATTATTCTTTTCCCAACAGAGTCTGTGGTATGGTAGCATGGCCAAGAGGTTTGGGGCTTCTAGTGCTGAATGTGAAGAAGGATGGAATGAAAGCATAGCAAGATGACAGAAATACTGACCAGTGGCCTTCTGGGCAACAGTAGTGCTTTTGTTTCTAGAAGAAGTAGCAACATACTCAAGCCCTTTTCTTGTCAAGGCCTTTACCTGGATGCAAGCGTCAAGAAAAGGCTTCTACAAGTGCAACCATTTGTCCTGGGTTCAGCAGTAGCAGTCATGTTTCTCCTTCGTGGTAGCTGGTGCAGTGCTGTGTTTTGACTTCCAGCCTGGGAACAGTGCTGGTGATACCAATGTTTTCGGTTGTTGCTAAGTGATGTTTACCCTGACCAAGGACTTTGTGAGGCTCATGCTTTGCCAGGGAGGAGGGGAAGCCATGAGGAAGCAGAGACAGGGCGCCTGACCCAGACTAGCCAGGGAGGTATTCCATACCACAGCACGTCATGCCTGGGGTGGGCGGTAACTGGGAGTTACCCGGAAGGACACGGGCTTCCGGGTGGGACTCGTTTTCTTGGCCGGTGGTATCATATTCTCTTCCCTTATTATTTTCTCTTATCATTGTTGTCGTTGGTAGTAGCGGTGGTGATTTGTGTTGTACATTGGTTGCTGGACTGTTCTTGTCTCAACCCGTAGGAGTTGCACTCTTTCGATCCTCCTCCCCGTTCCTCTGGGAGCGGGGAAGGGGAGAGCCCCGGGTGGGGGGGTGGGCTCGGTTGCTGTCAGCCCGGCATCACTCACTGGGAGTGAGTGAACAAGCTGTCTGGCTAGGGTTTAAACCACGACACCATTGCATGATCTTTTTATCTTCTTGGACAGGTAAGTATCAGAGAGGGAGAGAAGTGAAACCCAGAGGTGGAGAGAGGAATGAAAAGCGAAGGGACTCATCCAAATGCAGAAACTCACCAGGTATGCATTTGACGCTTTATTTCTGTATAGAAATGGTAAGAAAATTCAGAAAGGCATAATACATATGAAGAAATGCTGAGAACTGCAGGCAGTGTGCACAATGTATTGCAGCAAAAGCAAGGGGAATATGCGTGTATCAGTCACTGACCCCTATTACCAGCAAATCACTCTGTTGGTACTCAGATTTGAGACAGCTTGGTTTGAAGATGGCTGCTACCCCTGCTATCATTTACCAATGGCATTTAGATAATATATAAGTTTATAAAGTATCAGAAAAAACACTGGACATCTTTGGTAGATCACACTAAGATCTTGAGAGCTGATGTTTCTCTCATCAAAGTTCAGAGGGATCGGAGGGATTTTATTTTTTTGTTTTTCCCCAAAATAGGATGTGGATGTTTTTGTTTGTTTGTTTGTTTGTTTTGTTTGTTTTGTTTTCTTTTGGTGGGGTGTAGTTTTTGTTGTTGTTGTTTTTTTTTGTTAGTTTTTTTTTTCTTTATTGTTTTCTTCTTGCTTATTTTCTTAGTTTCTGTTTCTGCATCTCTCTGCCCACCAGGAGCAGCTGTCAATGAAAACACAGTGGTGCAATTCAGTGCTTCTTTCTGCTGCCTGTGCATTTTCTTTTAGAAGCAAGTTTCTCTTTACTTCTGGACCTTAACAGGTGTCTAAGATATGCAGCTGTATTCCAACAGCAGGCAGTACTCTTCTGAAGCTAATTTGAATCTTTTTCAAGGTGTAGCAGTAGTTCTCCTGCATTCATAAATATCTTTCTGTAATTTCTTTCCTAATCCAAAGACTCTCTCAGTATACTTTCTTTCCTATTTTCCATTCTGTAGGATGCAGATGGCAAGGCAGAGGCATCTGACTTTTGTACCACTTTCTTTTTTACTACCACAAATAAAAAGCCACTCAAAGAGTAGTCTTGTGACATACCATGAAATTACTGGAAGTCCTTTCCAACCCAAACTATCCTATTCTAATCCCAACTATTCTATGATCCTATGAAGTGTGGAGTCAAACAATGTAAAATAACTAGTACCCTATGACGTGCTTCCTAAACTGTATTTCAAATATATCCTATATCCTATAATGTGTTTCCTAAACTATATCCTAAATCTGTCCTAAAGTATATCCGAGAATTTGTTTTAAAAAGACATAGTAATAGATGAATAAACATAAACACAGTAACAAGTGTATTAATAAACATAGTAACAAGCATAGTAACAATGAGAATCTCAAGATCCAGAGGCCAGCTCCCCACTTGGGGAGATGCTCCATCAGGTGGGCGTTTGCTGGCAGGGCTGAGGAGTGAGCCAGCAAGGCCTCCTGCGAGGGCTGGGATGGGTCTGAGGGCACTGCTCTGGCTCCAGGGCGAGGTGGTGGAACCTTCTATCCAGATCAGAGGGACATGGTGGCCATTGCCGAGGTGGTGCTGGGGCCACAGGGTAGAACTCCAAGCCCAGGCAGCAGAGCACATTCAAAGCAGTAAATGGGCACCTACAAGGGCAGAGTCAGAAAGCACTGATGAAGCCATGAGGGCAGGAGCAGGTGGGACTTGGCTCCTGGGCATTTTGGAAGTATGCTGTAAAAGAGGTCATTGTTAGCACAAGAGAGAGGCTCCTTACTGGTTCCTTACTGGCAACTACAGTGCTGCTTTTGTCCCTTCTCAATACATGTGATACCCTCAGAGCATGGGAAGTTGACAGAGACATGCAGTGCCCCCTTGCCAGGCAGCAGGGCTCAGCAGGGAGCCCTTGGAAGGTGGGGTATGGTCCTTTCCAAAACCCAAGCAGCAGCATCCCTTGCTCTGCCATACTAAAATCACAGGTTGGCAGGCAATGCTGGGGTAGTATATTTCACCTGACATACATGTTTCCCCGAGGGCAGGTACATGCTTCCTGTCCAGGACCATCCTGTGCACCTCAGGAGTGTTTCCTGTACTCAGAGCTTGGCAAAAAGATGGAACACAGGCTCTGCTACATACCTGGGTGCCTTGTTATTCCCCTGCTTGATTTTTTTCAGTTGCCCATCCCTGAAAGCTCAGTTTTGATCTTCTTCTGGCATGGTGGCCCATCACTGCCCTCTTCCCAGGCTGCTTTTCTCTTCCTGGTGTTGTGTGAAGAGCCTGGGAACCTTTCCATTCAACAGTATTGTTAGACAGGTGAAGCCGTGATTACCTTGAACCAAGCAAAGCCAGGAAGTTTTACCTTTTCTCCCTGGAAAAGCTCCTCTGCTGTTCACTCTCAGGAGCAACAGGAGGCACCTGCAATGGCAATGTGTAGGTTAGCAGGGGGCAAGGACCTCCCTGCACAATTGCTACCCTAGCTCTAAAAGGCACATCCCTTGGATGGGTTTGGTCAGCTCAGCTGAGCCAGCTGTGGTGGGATCACCTCACAAAGCGGGATGGCCAACCTGCATCAGCCTTGCTCTGCACTTTGGCAGAGCTGTAGGCTGGTGGATGACCATGCTTTTCCCTGAGGTGGCAGCAGCCCCACCTTCTGAGGAGGGAGGCTTTTGTCACACTGCTTGTGCACTTCACTTACCTCTGCTGTTTCCAGCTCTGCTTGTGCTGCTGGTGTCTCCTCATCCCCCTTGCTGGCCAGCCTGGCCACCTGCTCTCCAAGGAGTTCCTGATGGTGTTCAATAAGGAACTTGATGAGCTTCGTCACCTGCACACAGCAAACCACTGGTTTCACTGAGGGGGCTGATGAGGGCTCAAACAATCTTTCCCAGCCTGACCTGTGCTTCTGTGCAAGAAGGTGCTGCCATGGGGCTGCTCTTCCCAGCTGCTGCTCCATGGCTTTGCTGACTGGAGGAGGCAGCCAGGACCCTCTGAGCAGCAAAGCTGGGCTGGGAACGCTGTAGCTGGGTGGTGAACACAGTGTACCTTCCCTGTCTCCAGAGCCAGGACATCCAGGGGCAGCTCCTGGGGTAGGCTCAGAAGGCTTGGTGCCAGGCAGATGGCCAGGTTCCCAGCAGTCATCTTGGTTGTGGCCACATTCTTGCTGATGCTGCTAAGCAGCGACAGCAAGTGCCAGAGCAGGAGAAGGTTGGCCTCTGGTAGCTTGCTGGCCACCCTGAGGGAACAGAAGCACAGCGTTAGTGAAGTTAACATTGACAGCACAGGTCTCCCAGGCTGATCTCACCCAAGGCCACTGCCTGCTCTACAGCAGAGGGACTGCCTACGCTGAGATACAGCCACCTCCCTCTCTCCCTGCCCTTCTGAAAAGGGCTCTTATTGGAACAAGCCCCAGCGCTTGTGGGAAGTGATCCCCAGAGAGAAAAGCTTTTTCGTGCCCCTCTCCTCCAGACATAAACCCCACAGCAGCAGGAGGTGGCTTGCAGGAGCCATGGCTATTTTAGGAAGGCCACTGCTTTGCAGCTGAGTCCCAGCCTGTGCCAGTCCCTGCTGGCTGTTGCAACACTTACTCTTTCAGTGCTGAAAGCTTCTCCTGTCTTCTGGTCTTCTCCATGGTGTGCATCCACTCCTCAAACAGCTGGATGTTGAGGAGCTTGGAAGGGATATTACGAAGGAGGTCCTGCAGTGCCAAGGGCTCCACGTGAGGCTTTGGCCACTGCACCCTTGGCGCATCTGCAGCATCCCCAGCCCTCTGGCTCATGAGCAGGCAGCTGGGTTTCTGCTTGTGCTCCCGCAGGTGCCCATCAGCACCAAGAGAGCCAGGAGCTGCAGGGCTCTGGGTCAGCAGGGCTCACCTTCAAGAGGACAGCCAGCAGCAGCACGGGCTGGGTTTCCAGCTGCACCGGCACCCCACTGTCCAGGGCCTCCCTGACCTCGCGGCAGGCACGCTGGCTGGCTGCCAGCTGGAAGATCCCCTCTGTTGATGGGCCACACTCATTGAGCACAGCCAGCAGGTCCTGAAGGCACAGAGGAGGAGAGCTGCTGAGCTGGAGACAGGCCCTGAGATAGGTGCTGGGGACAGCCACTCTATGGAGCAGCCAGCTGGATGGGATGGGATGGGATGGGATGGGATGGGATGGGATGGGATGGGATGGGGAACCCCTGCCCAGGGTGGCTTACCTGGATGGGCTGTGGCAGCATGCCATCCTGGCTGCAGAGGTCTGCCAGGGGCCGGCCAAACAGAGCTCCTGCCCCAGCAGAGCCTGATGGCCCTGGTGCCCCTACTGCAGCTGAGGTCCCTGGCCGTGCCAATGGCCAGGGCAGCCTCCTCCTGCTCCTGTGGGTCCCACCTGCTGCCAAGGGAAATAAAGCAAAGAGCTGTGGAGGAGAAGCACCAAGAGAGTACTCCCAGACTCCCTCAGTGCTGTCTCCCCATCACTGAGGGCACAGGAGAGGTGGCATCATCTGGGACCAATGGGCCCTGGGGCTCAGTTCTCTCCTGCTGAAGTGATGGGGATGGACGTGCCCTGCAGGAAGGGCAGCGGCAGCCACATTGCTGCACATGTGCCCACCTGCAAGAGCAGGAGAGAAGGGCCATCCTGCCACTGTCTTCTCCACGCTCACCATCTACATGGCCACATCCATCTTCACTGCCGGAGAGAACAGGAACTGGCAGCTGCCTGGCACCAACCTGCAAGAAATGGGCTGCACTCACCAAGGAGCCCTACAGCAGAAAGGGCCCCTGGCGAGCTGCATCAGCCTCTGGCTGTGTGTGAGAGGTGGGAATGGGTGAGATTGCACCACAAGTGACTCTGACCTGGGCCTGGCGCTATAGCAGCTTCTCCAGGCTCCCGGCATCCAGGGTCATCCCCTGGGCAAGGGGAAAAGTGCAGAAGGTGAGGAGCGATGCAGCTGATGCCGGGCTGGGGCAGCCCCTGGGGACAGAGCAGAGGCAGGAAGGACACTCGCAGCATGGCGGCCACTCAGCTCCTTCATCACCATCCTGCTGGACGGCAGCTGGGTCACCCGGGCTCCCTGAACTCCTTCCAGTGGTCTGTGCACAGGGAAGGGGCAGAGAAAGAGCTGTGTGAGACCCAAGCCAGCTCTTTCCTTTGCTGCCAGCCTGGGGAGCACTTCCACACTGCCAGGAACAGCCAGTACCACCCAGCAGTGGAGCGGTAGCAGCAAGAGTGGCAAGGATGGGGCTGGGCAGGGGTTGGCTGGACACAGCTGGATGAAACATCTTCACCAGCTGTGCCTGCTCAGCAGGCCCAGGGCCAGGCACAGCAGTGGGCGTGGGGTGCTGCCACATCTGCAGAGAGCAGCAGGGAGTGACCTGGAGGTGGCTGAGCCCGCTGGCTCCCCTCTAGTGCCTGCCAGCCATGGGCAAGGCCATGGGTGCATCCAGCACCAGGGTGCTGGGGCCCTGGGGCTGCTCCTTGGCTGTCCCTGCTCTGGTGCCCTGGTGCTAGGGGCAGGGCTTGGTAGGAAAGGCAGCTGGGCTCTGGCTGTCTTACTTGGTCTTGGCAATGACCACACTGTCCTTGAAGAGGAGGAGGTCCCTCTTCTTCCTCTGGCCATGTCCCTGGGTCACCCGCACATGCTCCCTGAGCAGTGGCTCAGGCAACACCGGGTCAGGCTTGCACTGCTGGTCGGGACCAGCGTCATCCCTGCAGGGCAGACGGCGTTGGGCATGAGCAAGGCGGCTGCTGCGGGGCCCAGCTGTGCCAGTGCATCCACGAGCTGTGGGGGAACCCACCTGGGCCCGCAGCAGCAGAGCCATTGCCCCATCCTGACAGGGGCGTGAGAAGACTTGCAAATAAGAACTCCTAACTCTCAGGATGGGAGCGCTCTGCCACAAGAGAGAAGCAGCCCCAGTACTGCTGGTGCTGCTACACAGCACCATCCGTGCAGGCACTGGGGCTGTTGCTGGGCCAGCACCTGGTTAATACGAACACCATCGTGACTTGATTCTAGAACCTGCGGGCCCAGATGGGGTGGAGCCCTGCGGGGCTCTCTCCAGGATGCCCATATGTCTATCATACTACACAGCCCAGACCTGGACTAACATCAACCATAGCTATACTATAATGAAAACAGGGCCACAAATACTCTTTCATCGTTTTTTTCCAATGTATGAACAGCTTCCAAGGGTTTCTAAGTGCGTTCAGAAAGTGAAATTCTGCAGACCAGGGTTTCTCTCCAGTTTAAAATCATTAGCAAACTTACTTGTGGTGCAGTCAACTCTGGAATCTAGATAATTGATTAAATCATTGAGCAGAACTGGCCCTTGAATTAATCCCTGAGGACCATCACTGGGAATGGCTGCCAGCCAGATGTAGCTCCATCCACTATAACCCTTGGAACACTGCCATGCAGCCAGTTCTTTGCCCAACACACCAGGTATTTGTTCTTCTCACAGTAACACAACTTGTCCAGAAAGCTACTATGAGGGACAGTAACAGAAGCTTTGCTAAAAAACAGAACAACCACATCCTCTACTTTCCTGACATCCAGTAGGCAAGTGACGTTATCAGAGGAGGATATCAAATTAGTTAAACAGGACTTTTCCCTTGTGAACTGTGCCTCATGATTTCATTGTCCTTGAAATGCCTTTCAGTAGCACTCAGGTGATCTTCTCCATTACTATGACAGAAACTGAGGTTAGTCTAGGAGTTCTGTCATTTTCTGGATCTCCCCTCATGCCTTTCTGATTGAAATGGCAGAAGGTTGTTTTCCAGTCATCAGGGTCTTGCCCAGACTCTCAAGATCTTTGATCGAGGGGGATCCTGTGTGATTTAATTTCTAGGTTGTTCTGTGTGGAGTCAGGAGTTGGACTCAATGTTCTCCACAGGTCCCATCCAAGTCTGGATATATTCTGTGATTCAATTATTCCAGTTAAAATTTGTTGATGTTATTATTTCAAGTGGAATTCCTGCACTTAATCAAACCAAGATCCAGGTATAGAAGCCAAGGAAATTAGTAGAATCAGTATTTTCTTTCAATCACAAACAAAACTATAAAGTCGTCTTGCAGAATGCTTGCCATTGTTAAGTTTAGTAAAAGTATGACTCAAACAGTGAGACATCTGCTTCCATCCACTCTAAAAAATACACCATATATAAGCAGGTAAGCAGGGATGTCACAACAAGATATTTTTGGCTTCTGAAGAATGAAACAGAAGTTATAGACGTTAAGTACCAAACATGCTAAAACTTGATAAGTGTCAAGACTCTTCATGTAATCAATGAAGACAGAGAAGCATCTCCAGAAAGCAATCTGGATTTTAGATGGAGTGTCCCTCTGGAGACTTTTATTTTTCTGCTGTCAGCTGAGTGTGGAATACTACACATTTAATAGCCTTCTCAATTTAAAGATGTAGTGTAGAGGAGTAGAGGAAAATCACCTCTGTTAACCTGCTGGTCACACTTCTTTTGGTGCAGCACAGGACACAGATTTGGTAGGAAGTTCTTTTCCTAGGTTATAAAGGAGAAATCCAAAGAATGCCATTGACATTGAAAGTTCAGTACCAGAAATTTCTCGAAGAAGATTGTGTCATCCCTGTCTTGCCAGTGGCATTTCCTATCAACAATTATCATATTGCATTTTTAGGAATTTTAAGATGTTTAAGAAATTGAACTTGAATAACAGCTTTTTTAATATCTGTTTTTTTTTCTTGTTTTGTAAATTTTTAATTCTTTTGTACTTCAGAAATAAACATTAACTACTGCTTATTTTCCCATATACTTTATTACAGTTATAATTTTATTTTTTCTGAGTTCTGATTTTCTACAAAGATAGGACAAATATGAAATCCTTATTCTTCATATTAATTTTCCAATGTCGTTTTTGTCACAGTTATATCTTAATAACTTGCATTACAAACCAGAATGTCAGGTGTGTTCAGATTTAGGAATCTAAGACCTATCTCTATAAAATGCCTATTTTCTCAGCCTATTTTTTGTTAGGAAAAGTTGTGAAAAACAAGTGTTCAGTATCTTTACTCACTATTATAAACTTATCTGTAATATATACACTATTGCAGTACTTAAGTCTCTCAGTAGTCAACTTACAATTTAAAATGAATGAATATTCATTACTTAAAAAAATGCATTTTAGAACTAAAAATCAAAGATTGTAAATCTATTATCTTTTCCCCATCAAAATTGTAAATAAGGAGTATCACTTGTAATTAATTGTAACACCAAACTCTCCATTGTTGCTGTTGCAAAAGAATCTTTTACACTTAGGAATTATAAATTAATTATTTTTTAAAAAGAAAGCACTGATATAGATTTTTTTTTTTTTTAGTCTTTCTATCCTTACAGTGTAGGATCTGATCTTCAAAGCATTATTTACCTGAGAAATCCTTACTATGCAAATAGTTAGGTTCAAGCGTAAAGTCATTGGCTGCATGAGTAAACTGTATATGATTGATCTTTTCTGTAATGCTATTGCTAACTTTGCAAAATGGAGCAAGAATCTATGAGCTTAAGGCTGCATCATGTCAGTTGAGATTTTTCTACTGATTTCGGTATAAGCCAAGGAGGGCCTTAAAGATGCCAAAAAGACATTAACTCAAATCTGTATTACTGGGTCATAGCAAACTTTGACCCCCCCTCATTCTGGAACTTGGTATACTCTTGAATGTATACCAATTTGACCATTATTGATCACAGTGATCTTTACTGTCATATCTCACCTGGAAGATATGTGCTTTTACTGGTCAGACAGAACACAGCAGGTCAAGCACAGACCTTCAGTCTGTTGATCAAAAATTTAATGTTTAGTGTCCCTTGTTCAATTTTCACAATGAAAAGTACCCTAGGGCTCTAAAAAAAAGGCAGTTAGACATACTTGTATTTGGACTTCTTGCTCCTTTCAGCAGCTGTCGATACTTTGTACATTTGTACGCTTTAGAACATGTAGCTGATGCAGTGTATTTTCATGATATATGTGATAGAGAAGGGCAAAAAAATCATTCTTGTTTGACTGACACAGAAGTTTGAGGCACTACACTAGTATCTAACATTCCATAGTGCTTTTATTCTACCATTTTTAATATATAATCTCAGAAAAGAACTTTCATTTAGTTTCAATCCTTTTAAACTGCAATGCTGAGTTCATTGTTTAACCTTGTAAATCTTGGAGTCCCATAATAAGCATTATTGAGGCCTAATTACTTCAAACTTCATTAAATGGTTTGTTCCGTTGAAGATAACCTAGGCAAACTGAATATTGGCTTCCTTATCAGTATTCTGTTTTCCTTCACAGCAAAGAATTAATGACTTACAGTTTGTCAAGGACAGAATTCCTATGCTGCACAAAATAGTAGGTTTGAATTATGTAATTT